AGGAGGAGGAAGAGGGGGAAGACGAAGAGGAGCAGGAAGAGGGGGAAGACGAGGAAGAGGAGGAAGAGGAAGAGGAGGAAGAGGAAGAGGAGGAGGAGGAGGAGGAAGAGGAGGAAGAGGAGGAAGAGGAGGAGGAGGAGGAGGAGAGGAGGGAGAAGTGGAGGTAGAGGGACGAAAAGACGCTAATGAGGAAGAGAGGGCGGGCGGAAAAGATGAAAGATGAGAGAGGAACCGAAGAAGAGGAGTAGGGAGAAGAGGAGCAGAAGGAAGAGATGCATTAGAGAGAGGGAAGAGTGAGGCAGGAAGAGAAAGAGGAGGGAGAAGAAGAGGAGACGAGAGAACAGAAGCAGAAGGTGAAAGAGGGAAGGGGGTGAGACTTACAGAGAAGAGCAGGGACAAGACGAGCAGGAGGGAGATGACAGGGAGGAAATGAGGAGGAGGAGGAGGAGGAGGAGGAGGGAAGAGGAGGAGGGAGGAAGGATGGAAGCTGAGGAAGAAGGGGAAGAAGGGGAAGAAGAGTGAGAAGAAGAGATAGCAGATAGGAGAAGACCGGTCTACCTGTTCTGCGAGCTGGAGTATTAACTTCTCTGTTGGGTGTCGTTTCCGTTGTTCTGATGAATGTGTTCTTGTTTGTTTTCTCAGGCTGCCATGCATGGTGCGCTGGGAAGGGCTGACGAGTTGGAGAAAATTGTGGAGAAATATGCTGGTCCAGCGCGGATGACAGCAAAGGAGGAGAATGAAGTGCTTAGCAAGGTCGTCGATGCTATGCCATCTGACTCGAGTCCGGAGCTTCTAGCGTTTGTCAAACGAGCAGAATTGACCCTGAAGGTAATCTCTCAAGCAGAGCAGAACAAGGACTCTACAAATCCCAGTCCTGTTTGTTGTGTGTCTGTGTTCTGTTTTCTTTCTCTAGAAATGCACAGAGGAAAAGGTGGGAAGAATGGCGAATAGAAATGTAAGAGGGGGCTTGGTTCAACAACCAGTTTCGCACCCCACAGCTCCGCTTGCAGCATGGAGAAGGACAGAATTGATGTGCTTGCTACGGAGTTTGTGTTTTCTTGTCCATCTCTCGGTCTGTCATTCTGTGTCTTTTCACCTCTCTCCCTCGGTGCGTCCATGAGTTTGTCTACACCTCACTAATTGTCTGTCTGTCTATCAGTGTGTCAATCTGTCAGCCTCACGGCGTGCGTGTCATTGGCAGCCTGTCTGTTTGTCTCCCTGTTTGTTTTCATCTTTCCATCAGCCTTTCCCTCTCTCTCTCCCTCCCTCCCTCCCTCTCTGTGTGTGTGTGTGTGTGTGTGTGTGTGTGTGTGTGTGTGTGTGTGTGTGTGTGTGTGTGTGCATGCATGCATGCAGGTTGTGCGTAGGGCTGTGTGTGCATGTGTGCGTGTTTGGGGGAATAAAGGCCTGGGCGATCACACTGTGGCAAGTTGTACCAAAAACTACGTCATGTAAACAATAAAAGAAAAGAGACCTGTCCTTCGGGACATCCGTTAAAATTGGAATGATACAGAGAAGATTAGCATGGCCCCTGCACAAGGATGACACGTATAGATCGAGAAATGGTCCATTTAAAAAAAAAAAAAAAAAGTGAAAAGAGACCTCATGGCCCGGTATGCCCATTGGGATGCAAGCATGTAAATGCCACAAAGCATGGGAAAAGGACCAAAAAACAAATCATAAGTACAAAACAGGAAAAAGGAACAAGTAAAAAAACAAAGAGCGACCAACTTGCCTAGCTCTGTTGGTAGACGCGTGAACTGATGAAATGCAGACTTGAGTCCGAATTCCGATGGAATGACATGAGTTAAAATAACTTCAGACTCTTCCCAGAGATGATATCTCATGGCCGTCGACCCTCCAAGAAAAAAAAAAAGAGGAAAAAAACAAAGAGCGAAGAAAAACAAAACGGATGGTGACCGACTGTCTCATCGAATGGTGCAGCGAGGCACCAGGCAACGCTAACGAGGCAGCCCAACTACAGGGCACAGAGGCAACCTGCATGGAAAGACAAGGCAAATGGATGGGAAGCAAGGCAACGATGTAGGGAGGCACCAGGCAACGCTGACAAGGCAGCCAAACTACACGGCAAGCAGGCAAACTGCGCGGAAAGACAAGGCAAGCGCACACACAGCAAGGCAGGAGAGGAGCACAGACAAGGCAGTCCACACATCCAACACGGACCAAAGCAGTCCACCTACTCAACAGCACAAGCAGAACCGCACAGAGTGTTGGTTCCCACCATCGTTGGAGCCAGGAAGCCACTCCGATGAACGTTTGTCATCACCCATGGAACATGCACCCTCACACATTCGGAACAGAGCAGCCTCCGTAATGGGATTTCAGGCACTCCAAACATTCAACCACCGACTATTTGGCACTTCTTGAAGGTGCTCACTTACACACACGGAAAGTACGTAGAATAAAAGCAGGAAAATATGCATACCGACGAGTGTGTGTGTGTGTGTGTGTGTGTGTGTGTGTGTGTGTGTGTGTGTGTGTGTGTGTGTGCCTGCCTGTTTATCTGCCAGTTTGCCCGTCTGTAAGTCTCTCACATTTGTCTTAGTTTCTGTCACTCCAGTGTGTTTGTCACCCTGTTGTCGGTTTCAAGCCGTTCTCGTGGCAACCGTTCCTGCTGGCACCTGATGACAGACTGGGGGGTACAATGGACTGCAACCGAACATTTTCCTTACGTCTTGGCAGGACAGTGTTATGTGACATGTTTAGCAGGCAAATCAATTTCGTTCATTTTTCTAATCTTTTCCCCTAGACAGTGGAACCTACCCGACATCCACTTTCTTTTTCTTCTCGAAAGCTTATGAAATTAAAAATTGCCAAAAGCTGGGATAACTCCAATACTTTGCAACCCCACCGGTTCCAGGCCCCGCCCCTCGCACCCATTCATTCAAATATCCCTGCAACCTCTGTGTCTACCAGTGCAGGGCCCATTCACCATTGGGAGTAGTGGTGCTTTAAGGATGGTTGAAGCTGTAAAACAGTAGAAGTGTTATCAATTTCCCAAATTTCCCATGTCTCATTGTCTTTCCTTCTCAGATCTTGCCATGATGAATCTGCGGAGGACACTGGCCAGTTTGACATCTCCTTCCCTTTTTTTTTCTTTTTTTTTTTCCAAGGGCGATGACCTTGAAATATCATCATCAAACTGACCAGCCCTAGGTAATTCAGAATCGTAGTAGTTTACTCATCTGCTTCCAGCGGAGTTCGAACTCAGGTCTGTACTTCAACAGTTCAGTCCAGGGGGGGTGTACCAACTGAGCTAGGCCAGTTGGCAGTTTGTCGTGTTCTACCTCCTCCTGTGGCTGGTAATGCTGCTGCCCATGGCCATTGTGCAGCTTGAGGTGCAGCTACTGCATTTAATTCTCCTCCTCCTCCTCCTCCTTCTCCTTCCTCCTCCTTCCTCCCCCTCCTGTTCTTGCACCTGGTCCTGATTATGTCTCTCTCCTTTTCCACTGACGGTTTTATATTGTGCTTTTGTCTTTTGGTCTTGTCACTTTGCAGAATAATCCCCAATGGGCACTGGCGCAGAAGCAACATTTGCTCTCGTCGATTGTTGACGACTTCAGAGCCCGAGAAGACACAGTGGAAACTCTGTCGTAGTTCATCGTGTTTGGGTAGGTTATCGAATGAGTGCTCGGCAATGCGGGTAAGTAGTGTAGATGGGTCTCGGAAATGAGACTGACGGTTCAAGAAAGGCTGAAAAAAAAAGTCTTAAGAAACCATTCACTTCAAAAGTCGATTTTTTGATCAACGTGTGTTCCATCCGTCCATGGCGTATGGATGCACCTGTTACGACCATGCTACTTCCCTGAGCTTGCATCTCATGTGTGTGCTTTGGCAGTCGCAAGTCAACGACTGATATTGCAAGCCTGCAAAAGCAGAGGTTTTGTCACAGGCCTGTCGTCTATGATTGTTATGCTGTCATCCATGGCTCTCATGGCACACTTGGCTTGGAGTTCATGGCTGATGCGCCAAAGGCCTGCTCGTCTTCAGGGCTCTGAGGTGGCCAGCCCTGCTATGATGTATATATGACCTCACAGGTCTGCAAATGTTTTGTGTTCAGTCGTCTGTATCACTTCAGACTTTGATAGCCAATCATATTTTTTGCTATTCTCTATTGTCTATGTGCTATTCGCTTCGGCTATGGATATCAACTACAATTGCACGCTCATCTGTATATGCCATGCTAAACCTGCTGTGGGTGTTTGCTCAGGGAACAGACGACTGTGCTTTGGTGATGCCTGATGTCCCAAATGAAGCCTTGGGAAGAAGATGAGACGAGAGGCCGAGAATTGGACACATTGTCGTTCTCGATCTCCTTTTTTTTTGTTTTTTTTTTGTTTTCTTACCCTTATCCTCGATCTCTGTTATGCACGGTGTTGAATCATTTATCATGTGTTTTATGGAGGGAATGGATCCTACGCCTGAACTTATACATATTGGTCTTCCCCCTCGGCCCCCCCCCCCCCCC